CCTGGGCAACATGAGCAAAGACTCCGTCTCAAAAATAAATAAATAAAAGTACTTTTTGGGCCAGGCGCAGTGGCTCACACCTGTAAGCCCAGCACTTAGGGAGAGAGACAAGAGAATGGCTTGAGGCCAGCTTTGAGACCAGCCTGGGCACATAGTGAGACCTTGACTCTACAAATAAAAAATAAAATTGAAAAAAAAAAAACACAAGGTAGGTAGATCTTGGAGGAAGAACCATCAATTCAGCACTGGCTGGGGAGGGCCTCTGGGCAGGGAAAGCAAGGCTTCCCGAAGAAGCTTTGGATGCGGCTGAGAAAGTGAGAGCAGTTTAGCTGAGCCAGGAAGAGGGGGCTGGAGTGGGTTAAACGCGCAGTGTAAAAAGAGGAACTAAAAAAAGCTCAGTTTGGGATAGAGCGAGTTTGAGGTCCCTGTTAGACCCTGAGGTGAGATGCAGGGAGGAAGCCGAATACACAATCTGGGCAGGGACACACACTCCACACATTAACCCCAATGCCTTGAGCTCCATTGACCTGAAGAGATAGCCCTGCTCCTGTCCAGCTGGCCCCTGACCTCTGGTCACACTGGCCTCAGATCTGTGTCTCCTTCTCAAGTACCTGGCCCCCAGGGCCACTGTCCCTCGGTCTCCACTGGGTGCACTGGAAAGGAAGGGTGAGGTACGAGAAGCCCCATTAACGCCATGAAATCACCAGGCACAGTGGCTCATGCCTGTAATCCCAGCACTTTGGGAGGCTGAGGCAGGCAGATCACAAGGTCAGGAGCTTGAGACCAATCTGGCCAACATGGTGAAACCCTGTCTCTACTGAAAATATAAAAATTAGCTGGGTGTGGTGGTACATGCCTATAATTCCAGCTACTCAGGAGGCTGAGGCAGGAGAATTATGAACCCGGGAGGCAGAGATTGCGGTGAGCTGAGATCGCACCACTGCACTCCAGCCTGGTGACAGAGCGAGACTTCATCTAAAAAAAAAAAAAAAAAAAAAAAATGACATCAGCAGCTCAAACACCAGGAAGTCCCAGCTTTTGCAACAGCTCATAAGGACTGGTGCTTCTTCCTGTGAGCAGTGACAGCCTGCAGGATTCTAAACTCTGCTTTTCATTGTTTTGTCCTTGAGTGGATCACGCCTTCCTAATCTACCGTGTTCTGCATTTATCTACATCCGCAGGGTTTGTGGTCTTGTTGCTAGAGGCCTAATTCTCCTTGCCTGGTTTATAAAATCCAGGTAACCGAGGATTTTTTTTGGGGGTGTGGATACTCTATGTCAAAAGGATATGCATGTTTTTGAAAGATCACAATGTACTGGGGGCTGGAATCTGGAACTGAAGGGGGAACGGTTCCCTTGTCCCCCTCACAGGGCTTACAACAGGGAGAGTGGCTCACTCCTTCAGAGTCCTGCCGCTCAAACCTCTAGGGGTGCATGCAGACGGGCAGGTTGTGGGGCTCCAACCCCTTGGCAGCCTCTGAGGGTGAATGCTTACAGCTCCTGAAGCCCCGGAGGGCATGTGTTACGGGGTCCTCTTTTTTGGGGGGAGGCGAGGATGGAGTCTCACTCTGTCATCCCTGCTGGAGTACAATGGCACGATCTTGGCTCACTGCAACCTCCGCCTCCTGGGTACCGGGCTCTCCTCCAGCTGCCTCAGCCAAACTCTGCACCATTCTGCTGATCAGTGGCCTGCCGGCCTCTGCCTGTCAGCGTGCTCTTACGCCGGTGCGTTCCTCTCCAAGTCCAGCCTCTGTGTGTCTACCCGCTAGGGTCTCAGGGTTTTTATAGGCACAGGATGGGGGTGTGGCAGGCCGGGATGGTCTTGGGAAATGCTACATTTGGGCATGAAAACAGAAATGCCTGTTCTCACTCAGGTCCGTGGGCAGGGGCCCAGGTGTGAAACCCTAGCCAGAGACCTACCCTTCTCTACCCAGCACATCCTTGCCCCACTCCCATATCAGAACCAAATGGTTTTCTGTCATCTTGACATGATCACAAGGGTCTATGAGGCCAAGCACAGTCAGAGGGGCCTGGGGGTGGCATCATATGCCCACAGGATGGCAGCTCTTGCCTGTGTCAGAAGCACAGAAATAAGGGACCCTGCATTCAGAAAGACCACAGTTAAGAGGAAAATATACAGGTTCACAGGCTTGGAGTGAGTGGACCCCAGAAATAAGGCGTCCAAGGACGCCATTCTGGAGAAATGCCTCAGTCCAGAGCCTTGCCCTCCAGACTTCCCACCCACACACCTGCCTGTCAGAGGAGAGCAAACGCCAGGAGAGCCACTGGCCACAAGTATATGGTATCTGATATATTTGTTTGTTTTCATATAAAATTAATTTGAAATTAAATATTCCTGGATGATGACGAGTTACCTAACGGGTACGAGGTACATTGTTTGGGGGATGGATACCCGAAAAGCCCTGAGCTCACCACTCCACATCTATGCATATAACCACATTATGCTCATTTCCCATAAATTTATAAAAATAAACAAATAAAGCTAAGAAGCAACACTTTGAAATAAATACTACTTGAGTCAAAATGAACTAACCAAGAAAAAAATGCTCCAGGCTAGGTACAGTGGCTCACGCCTGTAATCCCAGCACTTTGGGATGCCAAGGTGGGCAGATCATGAGGTCAGGAGTTTGAGACCAGCCTGGCTAATATGGTGAAACCCCATCTCTACTAAAAATACAAAATTTGGGCTGAGGCAGCCGGACGTGGTGCATCATGCCTGTAATCCCAGCACTTTGGGAGGCCGAGGCGGGCAGATCATGAGGTCAAGGGATCGAGACCATCCTGGCCAACATGGTAAAACCTGGTCTCTACTAAACACAAAAAATTAGCTGGGCATGGTGGCACATGCCTGTAGTACCCGCTACTTGGGAGGCTGAGGCAGGAGAATTGCTTGAACCAGGGAGGCAGAGGTTGCAGTGAGCCGAGATGGCATCACTGCAGTCCAGCCTGGGTGACAGAGCAAAACTCCATCTCAAAAAGAAAAAAATGCTCCTGACACATGATCAAGTAATGCTGTAATACCAGGTTAACACATGTTAGAGCTTATTATATGCCAGGCATTATACCCTGTGCTTTACATCCATTATCTCAATTAAGCCTCATAATAGGCCTAGGGAAAAGGGTCTGCTGTTATCCCCATTTACAGATGAGCAAACTAAGGCCTAGAGAGAAATTAAGCAACTTCACTGAAGTCACTCATAAGGATGGGCACAGTGGCTCACACCTGTAATTCCAGCACTTTGGGAGGCTGAGGCAGGCAGATTGCTTGAGCTCAGGGGTCCCAGACCAGCCTGGGCAACATGGTGAGACCCACCTCTACAAAAATAAAAAATCAAGTCAATCATAAGTAAATGGCTCAGCCAAGATGCAGACTGCTATGGTCTGAATGTTCGTATCCCCCAGAATTCATATGTTAGAGCCTAATACCCAGTATGACAGTATTAAGAGGTGGGGCGTTTGGGATGTGATTTAAGTCAAGAGGTTTGCCCTCATGGATGGGATTCGTGGCATTATAAAAGAGGCTGGAGGGAGCTGTTTTGCCCCGTCCATCATGCCCCTTCCACATAGAAGTTGCTGTCTGTGGCTGGGCATGATAGCTCATGCCTATAACCCCAGTACTTTGAAAGGCCAAGGTGGGCGGATCACCTGAAAGCAGGAGTTCGAGACCAGCCTGGTCAACAGGGTGAAACCCATCTGTACTAAAAATATAAAAATTAGCTGGGCGTGGGGCACACACCTGTATTCCCAGCTACTCAGGAGGCTGAGGCAGGAGAATTGCTTAAACTCGGGAGGTGAAGGTTGCAGTGAGCTGAGGTCACACCATTGCACTTCAGCCTGGGTGACAGAGCAAGGCTCAGTCTCAAAAAAAACAAAGAAGCCCTCACCCCGTGCGCAGGCCCCCCCAGCAGAAGCCCCCATGCCGGCACCATGTCAAAGAAAAAAGGATTGAGTGCAGAAGAAAAGAGAACTTGCAAGATGGAAATAGTTTTTGAAACAAAAGATGTATTTCAATTAAAAGACTTGGAGAAGATTGCTCCCAAAGAGAAAGGCGTTACTTCTATGTCAGTAACAGAAGTCTGTCAAAGCTTAGCTGATGGTGGCATGGCTGACTGTGAGAGGATCAGAACTTCTAATTATTATTGGGCTTTTCCAAGTAAAGCTCTTCATGCAAGGAAACATAAGTTGGAGGCTCTGGAATCTCAGTTGTCTGAGGGAAGCCAAAAGCGTGCAAGCCTACAGAAATGCATTGAAAAAGCTAAAATTGGCCAATGTGAAACGGAAGAGCAAACCACGCTAGCAAAAGAACTTTCTTCACTTCGAGACCAAAGGGAACAGCTAAAGGCAGAAGTAGAAAAATACAAAGATTGTGACCCACAAGTCGTGGCAGAAATACGCCAAGCGAACAAAATAGCCCAAGAAGCTGCTAACAGATGGACTGATAACATATTTGCAATAAAATCTTGGGCCAAAAGAAAATTTGGGTTTGAAGTAAATAAAATTAATAAAACTTTTGGAATTCCAGAAGACTTTGACTACATAGACTAAAATATTCCATGGCAGTGAAGGATGTAAATTTTAAACTATTATCTAAATAAGTGTACTGAATGGTCATTTGCCTGCAACTATATGTATCCTTTTGTTAATGTTAAATAACGTGTAAAATAAAAAAAAAAAAAAAAAAAAAAAAAAAAAGAAGTTGGTGTCTGTGATGATGGTCCTCATCAGGCACCAAACCTCCTGGTGCTTGATTTTGGCCTTCCCAGCCTCCAGAATCGTGATCAACAAACTTCTGTTGTTGATAAATTACCCATTCTAAGGCAACTGGCTGTATCAGTACAAATGAACTACAGACGCAGTTCCATCTGACTCCAGAACCAAAGCTCTTGCCACTCTGCACCCCTGGGGTACATTCCTGGCATCGCAGACCTGCCTCTGTTTCAGCAGTACAAGATACGAAAGGTCCAAACCCCCTGCACCTACCTTGGAGCGCCACACATGACCATCTCCAGCCTTCTCATGTGCTGAGTGCCTGGAATCCCAGTCCACGCATCCATCTCATGCCCTTCAGCTCATCTTCCAGGATGTGACTTCAGAGGAGAGTAAACTCCTCCTCCAGGAAGCCTTCTCTGACTTACCAAGTAGAGCTCACCAGGCCCTCTTGGGCACCACCTCCATGCAGGAATATTCTGTAATCTTTGTTTGGGGACACTGTCTATCTCCCCTGCTGCACCAGGCCCGGCAGAACCCGTGGCTTTGTCATTTCTGTGTCCCTAACATGCTGTACGGAACCCAGCACACAGCTGGCCCAGACTCCTCAACTTTGCCCTTAGAGTCATGACAGAGGAAGGCTGGTGTTTTTGTGTAAACACTGGAAAAGTCTCAAGAAACCGCTCATCAAAAAGTAAGGAACAATGCGATTCATCCATCAGCTTTATAATCATTTCCATTTGGTAACCTGTTAGGGCTCTCTAAGAGAATTTGCATTCTCTCCCTGTTAGGGCTAAGTAGAAGTCACCACTTGGGAGGTAGACAGGGTTTCAACAGAGGTCCCCCCAAGGGCTCTCTTGAGCCCCATCTCCACTGCTCCCCACTTACCCCCAGCATCTGTCAAACATATTCTATTCAGTGGATGACCCCATAGAATCCTTGAGATCGCAGGTCCCAGGTGAGGCTTTTCCTGGCCTTGCTCAGTGCTGTGACCCTGCAACATAGGAGAGCATTTAGCACAGAGTAGGCTCTCAAGAAACATTAGTTGGGCTAGGCACAATGGCTCACACCTGTAATCCCAGCACTTTGGGAGGGTAAGGCAGGGGGATCACTTGAAGCCAGGAGTTTGAGACCAGCCCAGCCCACATAACAAGATCCCCATCTCTACAAAAATTTCTTTTAATTTAGCAGGGTGTAGTGGCATGGGCCTATAATCCCACTACTCAGGAGGCTAAAGTGGGAGGATCTTTTGAGCCCAGGAGTTCAAGGCTACAGTGAACTATGATTGAGCCACTGCATTCCAGCCTGGGTGACAGGGCCAGACTCATCTCAAAAAATAGAAATAAAGAAATTCTGGCCGGGTACAGTGGCTCACACCTGTAATCCCAGCACTTTGGGAGGCCGAGGTGGGCGGATCACAAGCTCAGGAGTTCAAGACCAGCCCGACCAACATGTTGAAACCCTGTCTCTACTAAAAATACGAAAACTAGCCAGGCATGGTGGTGCATGCCTGTAATCCCAGCTACTCGGGAGGCTGAGGCAGGAGGATCGCTTGATTCCAGGCAGCAGAGATTGCAGTGAGCCGGGATCGTGCCACTGCACTCCAGCCTGGGCAACAGAGCAAGACTCCGTTGTAGCAGGAGCTGCTGTGGGAAACAGATCTCACGAACGCCGAATGGAGAAGGAGGAAGTTTATTCCAGCCCCGGAGCCTGAGCGATAATTGGTCCAAAGCTCAGCTCGTCTAACAAAGGAAGGTTTCAACTTTATATAGGCTTATACTTTAGATATTACACATGGAAGAATCTTGGGTTTACAGTCTTAGAACACTCATATGAAAGGGTTCCGGTTTACAGTTTTAGGACTCACATGTGAAACTCTTGCTACAGTTTTAGGACTCACATGGGGACTCTTGCCACTCTGCACCCCTGGGGTACATTCCTGGCATCGCAGACCTGCCTCTGTCTCAGCAGTACAAGAAACGAAAGGTCCAAACTCCCTGCACCTACCTTTGAGCTCAACACATGACCATCTCCAGCCTTCTCATGTACAGGTTTTGGGTTTGATCTTGTTTTAAACAAAAGGTGTCTTCCGGAGAGTCTCCCCAAGACCAAGCCTCCCACCTACAGGAAGGTGAAACAGGAGGCGCCAGGCGGTCAGCCTTTTCTTCTATTGAAATGCAGTGTGATAGTCAAAGAAGTTGATCTCAGATGCCTGGGTCTCCTTCTTCACTGTCTCAAAATAAATAAATAAATAAATTCTGACACGAGCTAAACCATGGATAAACCTTGAAGATATTATGCTGAGTGAAATAAGCCAGTCATTGCACAGGGATAAATATTGTATAATTCCACCACTAAGGTAGCCAAATTCATAGAGACAAAAACTAGAATGGTGATTGCCAGGGGATGGGGTTGGGGGGCAGGGAATGGGCAGTTACTGCTCAATGGGTTTAGAGTTTCAGTTTCGCAAGATGAAAAGAGTTGTGTGGATGGTTGCACAACCATGAATGTGCTGCGTGCAACAGAAATGCATGATTAAAAACGGTTAAATTCGGGCCGCGCACAGTGGCTCACGCCTGTAATCCCAGCACTCTGGGAGGCCGAGGCGGGTGGATCACGAGGTGAAGAGATCCAGACCATTCTGGTCAACATGGTGAAACCCCGTCTCTACTAAAAATACAAAAAATCAGCTGGGCATGGTGGTGCGTGCCTGTAATCCCAGCTACTCAGGAGGCTGAGGCAGGAGAATTGCCTGAA